GGGTTATCGTAATGAACCCATTTTTCGTCCCCAGTCACAATGCGATGCAGAAATCCCTTCCGTCTTTGCCTTTCAAGCAGCTGTTCACAAGCAAACAAACGCCGTTCAACATCTCTCGGCTTCAACTCGTATGATAATTTCCAATTTCCTCGCTTCTGAATTATTCCCATGGCTTTGAGGCGTTTTGAAATAGCTGGTTGAGTCCCAATGATCGTGCCAATTCTTTTTGATTTTGACACAAATCTTGATCAAGTAATCCCTCCAATTCTGCATCTTCGAAAACCTTCTCTCTTCCACCGCTGTGCCGGTCTTCGACGTCAAAATCACCATTCTTGAAGCGTTGAAACCACTCGCGACACGTTCTTTCACTAATAGCGGCCTCATCATAAGTATTTGAGAGCATTCGATGAGCCTCAGCTGCAGAACTTCTTCATATTGAAGCAGAAAATTAAAACCTCCCGCAAATGATGAGAATTTGGCTCGTAAACTGACATTTTCAATCGAGAATAACTTTATGATACAGACACGAATCGACTAATGTTTCTATGGGGTTATGTTGACAGATGCCCAAGTTTATTGTATGTCTATGATCTATTTATTTCGACCACTACTTACCGTTAAAGTCATCTATAGGAAAACAGCGGAAGCAAAGTTATACATCTAATATATACATGTATATGCAACACGTGCCATATATTGACAATAATACATGGCAATAAAATGACATTGTACGAAAGGACAAATGCTATTACGGCCTTGAGTCAATATACACTGTCAATACTGAAAATATATATTATATTATACATATATTACATATTTTCAGTACTCGTCTATATCGATATACAGTATACTTTTTCCTATGACCAATGTCATTTTAGGTCAAGATGTAACATGTATTAGCGATACGTAGATATATTATGTATATAATATACGTAGCTACTCTATTTTTTGCTACATTTAATAAAAAGATATACAAGTTACTCATATTAAAATATTAGTGGTGTGTACTTAAATATAATGCACATATAGGCAATATTATGTAATATTGCATATATGTATATTATAATGTGTGAATAAACACACATTACAGATAGAAGTTATTAATGTTAAGCTATTTATGCATTCCCTATGTTTAAATATGCAATATTAAAATTGTGTGTATATATATATAATATAATGTGTACACATAAAATTTAATTCCAATGTTTTGTATAAATAAACATAGGAATCTGCATGAATACTTCAGTATAAATTACTTCTAGTTTTGATTTGTGTATATTCACACATCATAATACATACACATGCAATAGTCTAATATTGAAAAAAACAATTATTATATAGGAAACTTTAAATTTATAAAATATACGTATAACTAATATAAATCAAAGCTATTCAGGCAATATAGATATATAACGAAAAACTTACATATCCAAAAAGATTGTGTTACTCACAAATTGCCAAAGATGAAGTGATGTAAAATTTTAGTAGATAGATTTGTATAAATGTAATTTTGTGATCAATTATGTATCAAAGCTTCTAGCACTCTCTCTATCTACTAAAATTTTACATCACTTTATCTCTGGCAATTTGCGAGTGACAATCTTTTTTGTATTTGTGAGCTTTTCGTAATATATCTATATTGCTGAAGAGGACTCCAAAGTGAGTTTACATGTACAAAGTAAAAAAGATCATTTATCAGAGGATTCGTAATTTGATTATTTTTTTTAACATATTATATCTGATTATCTGCGTTTGACTCTCATTAGCTTTGATTTATGTTACTTGTATATTCTGATATTGAAAATATAAAAGCATGTACATATTACTAATATCTGTACATTTGACCTAAAAAAACATATCTCTTTTTATTAAACGTAGAAAAAAGAGATAAAATAGGCCTTGGACGTAGAGAAAAATACTATTACGTATACTGCTACGTACTACCAGTACCGAAAATCTAATATACATAACGTAAATGTCATAAATTATGGATTTTCATTACTAACGTACTGATGTATTAATTAGCCATCATTTACTAAAACACTTTGAATATGATGTACTTATTTCATAAACGTAGAGCATCGTAATTTTCGTATGAAAATTATGCATATGATTATTGACCATGTAATGTTATGTATATGTATAGCACATATATATGTATAACATATACACAGTGCGACAAATATGTTTCCGGACACGAACCACATCTCAGCAACCAGTGGCGACATCTGTGCGTTCAAACATGCATTTTAAAGGTTGAACATTTTGCTATCATCTATCAAAGTTTCATTCATTTTGGTTGACATATAACGAAGATATGATAGTTCATGTTAAACAAGATTTTGGTCGAGGTAGAAATTTTAATATGGAACAAAGAGCAGTGATTAAATTTAACGCAAAACTTGGTAAAAGTGCATCAGAAACATTCCGATCGATGCAACAAGTTGGCAGTCAATGTCTAGGTACAGCTGTTTTTGAGTGGCATAAGCGTTTTTTGGAAGGCAGAGAGACCCTTGAAGATGACAAAAAATCAGGACGGCCAATTTTGATTCGAACACCCGAAATGATCGAAAAAGTACGTGATTTTGTTGCAAACGATCGCAATGCATCACTAAAAATGATGGAGGAGGCTTTAAATATCAGTAGAGAAACGATTCGAACCATATTACATGAAGATTTGGGTAAAACGAAGGTTTGTGCGAAGTTTGTTCCATACACATTAAGAAGCGATCAAAAATCAGCGAGAATCAATTATTCCAGAGACATCGTTGCAGCCGCAGAAAATAATCCAAACTTCCTAAAATCAATTGTTACGGGTGATGAAACATGGTGCTTTCAATATGATCCAGAAACTAAGCGTCAAAGTGCGGAATGGAAGTCAAAAAATTCACCACAAGCAAAAAAAGTACGAAAAGTGTGTTAAACCATCCACCGTATTCACCTGATTTGGCCCCCTGCGACTTCTCATTATTCCCAAAATTGAAATTGAAATTGAAAGGATGCTTTTTTGATGACATTCCGACCATCCAATCAGCTTCTACACAGGCACTAGAGGCAATTCCGCAAATTGAGTTAGAATAGGAAGTTTGGATTACTTTCTGCGGCTGCAACGATATCTCTGGAATAATTGATTCTCGCTGATTTTTGATCGCTTCTTAATGTGCATGGAACAAACTTCGCACAAACCTTCGTTTTACCCAAATCTTCATGTAATATGGTTCGAATCGTTTCTCTACTGATATTTAAAGCCTCCTCCATCATTTTTAGTGATGCATTGCGATCGTTTGCAACAAAATCACGTACTTTTTCGATCATTTCGAGTGTTCGAATCAAAATTAGCCGTCCTGATTTTTTGTCATCTTCAAGGGTCTCTCTGCCTTCCAAAAAACGCTTATACCACTCAAAAACATGCATTTGAATCACTATTGAATCACTGTAACAAGTGTATTGAAGCCAGAGGACAATATTTTGAATAATAAAACCAAAAAATATGCATATTTGTTATTTCAATTATGATTTTCAGGCCCTGTCCGGGAACATATTTGTCGCACTGTATATTATAGGGTGTTCAAAAAGACCCCGGATTTATGAGCTGAACACACAGATAACTAATCGTGAAGGAATATGAATTGTACTTGTATCGGCATACACATAATATGTCAAAATATAGTTGCGTTGATCTATTATATACTATAATTCACGTTCTACGGGTGGTATTCATAGTCGAAGCTCAAAGCAGCGCTTAAGACTGTCTCAGTCAAGACTATCTTCAATTAAGATCATCTTAAAATCGTAATATATATTCCATAGTCACGAAAAAAGACGATCTTCGAGAAGAAGTTCTTCCTTGAAGAATTCTTATTTGAGTTAAGATCATCTTGGCGAAGATATTCTTAAGGTTAAACTTATTTATTATTCGGCTATTTCCGTCATATTTCTGTTGGATTCTCCAATAGGAATATTGCATTTGAGGAGTTTTACAAGTGTTATGTACCATTTTGTACATTTTATTAATCGTGATTATTCCCTCTAGTTACACATATAACGAGCAGTAACAAATTACTTGCGGAAATCTTAAAATAAAGTAAATAATATTTTTATTTAATGAAGTAAGGAAAAAAGATTTGATTTACCTAACAATTTGAAGGTTATTTAAGATTATTACTTTAAAAATAATACAATTTATTTACACAGAATGTCGTGTAACGAAAAAGCATTTAGCAGTAAGAACAAATACTACACATTAATGGAACGAAAAGTATTTCTACAGATACTAAATGATTATAAACGCGTAATCGAATTTTAAAAAAGTGACGGTGCAACATTAAAAGAAAAAGATGGTATGGAAGGAGATTTGCAAACACAATCAATCAACGTTAATTTCTCAAGATGTAAGTAACTATCATTGTTTGACATCGTTAATTCGTAAAAAAGTAATAATTCTTTCGTTCGATTAAGTAATTGTTGTTAGACGCATGCATGAAATGAGTTTATAAATTCATTTCTAGCATGATCTTAATTCTCGCTAAAGCCAATTTGTCGTTTTTTTTCATTTCAAATTAATTCGTTACACACACACAGACAACAGCAACGGACCATCGAAAGAATTATTACTTTTACGAATTAACGATCTCAAATATTTCCGCCCGCCTCGTCATCTCCGTGACGATATGCGCATAGAAGTGATCTCGGGCGTTGCTTGTTTGATCGAAAGTGATTAATAACTGCAAATTTTGAGAATGCGAACATTTGATTTACGCGGTTGATAATTTCGTTGTACCTGCTGTCCCGAACTTTCAACTTGAGTTCATGTGCACGGCACAACACGTTGGTGCACACGTACTAAGTACTTGCGACGCGACAAACGAATCGAGATTACAGAATTGATAGTGAACGCTTACAGGAAACACGCGGCACAGTACGATAAGTGCATCCGTGGAAGAGAGTTACCTTGAACCGTGAACGAGAGTTATATAACAGAATAAAATTAAAACCACAATTCACGGACATGCAAGCGATTGATTCATGCTCCTCTTTTCGTTCGGCGCATTATCGTGCGAGGTGAACGCATTGGCATCCTCTGGCAATAATACTAATTTGATTAGAGGACGAATCAATTCTGATGAGGTCGTTTTGAGTGTGACCACTCGCACCACGCCGTCGTCTCCAGGATGTAGCTGCGTGATCCGTGCCAATGACCATTTGTTAGGCGATGAGATTTCGGAACGGATGATATACAGCGATCCGATGCGTGGTGACAAGGCTTCCTTGGTCCATTTCGGTCTGGTAGCCAGAGTATGCAAGTACTCACGTGACCATCTCTGCCAAAAGTGGTCTTGCATCCGCTGGATAAGTTGCCACTTAGAGATTAAATTTTCTCTTTCGTCAGACAATGATGGCTCGGGGATGGCCAGCAGTGGTGCCCCAATGAGCAAGTGACCCGATGTCAGAGCCGTGAGGTCGTCGGAGTCATCTGAGAGGGCATGCATGGGCCGGGAATTCATGCATGCCTCTACTTGTGCAAGCAGGGTGCTCATCTCCTCGAAGGTGAGTCTGGTTTCGCTGATGGTTCTGCGCAGGTGGTACTTGGCTGATTTCACGGTCGCTTCCCAGAGATCACCAAAGTGTGGTGCCGAAGGGAAGTTAAAGTGCCACCGGATTCCTTCTGATGTAGCGACGTGTGCGATTTGTCGTCCTTCTGAGAAGGAAGCTCGGAGTATCTCTCGTAGTTGTCTGTCGGCGTCCGAAAAATTGGTGCCGTAGTGGGAATAGATGTCCGTGCAAAGCCCTCGGCGAGATGTGAAGCGGCGGAGGGCAGCCAGGAAAGCGTCGGTGGTATAATCTGAAACGGCCTCAAGGTGAACTGCTTTGGAGCTAAAACAGACAAAAATAGCAATGAAGGCTTTGTGAGCGCTGTGACCACGCCCTTTGCTCGTTCTGATAAAAATGGGCTCGGCGTAGTCGATGCCCACTCGAAGAAATGGCCGTGCAGGAGTCACTCTTCCTGGAGGAAGGTTTCATTTGAGGTTGCGGAGTGACAGCCCTCCACCGAATGCACGTCACGCACTGATGCAGCCATCGCTTGACCACAGCTCGGCCTTGTGGGATCCAGAACCGGAGTCGAAGCATCCCTAGGGTCAACTGAACCCCTCCGTGAAGAGTACGACGATGGTAGGCTTCTACCAGCAAACGCGTGAGCCATGACCTTGGACGCGTGAACCAGGCACGATGAGAGGATGCTCGTCGAAGGACAGCGCTACGTGTTTGAGGCGTCCTCCGACTCGCAGGATTCCGTGTACGGGCTGAGGGCTCGCAGATGACTGAGTCTTGGAAGACAGCGTTTATTCGTGATTGCAGTCATTTTCTCCGGATAATGCGACAACTGCACTATGCGAATCCATTGCAGGAGTGCTGTGTTGCAGGGAGAAGTGCTGAACAGTGGTGCTTCTTGTCCGCAGATCTGACTGAGCGGTGGCGACGGCGCCAACATAAGCACCAGGAAGTTACTCTCAGGAATCGATGCAATGTTGAGAACCTGAGGAACTCTTCAGGCTCGTGATTGTTCCTGATGACTGCGATGAGCGTAGTGGCCCGTTCCGGAATGTCCTTGATGGGTTCCTTGTCTCCGCTTGGCCATTCTGTCGGATTCCCGCATAACCATGCAGGACCCGTCCACCACAAGGGATGACCGAGGAGCTCGCGAGGTGTCAGTCCTCGGGAGGCACAGTCGGCGGGGTTCTCCTTGCCTGGGACATGGCGCCATTGAGCCTCAGGAAGTTGCTGCTGGATCCGAGATACTCTATTGACCATATACGTTTTCCAGCGAGAGACGTGACCCTGAATCCAATGGAGCGTGACCTTGGAGTCTGACCACAAGGTTACTGGTGTTGCAGTTAATTTTAATACAGAGCGCGTGTGCACGAGCATACTTGAAAGTAAGGCGGCGGCGCAGAGTCGCGGGAGAGATACAAGTTTAATCGGCGCGACCTTGCTTTTGTCCATTAGTAAGCGAGTCTTTATTTGATTGTTTGAGGTGATGCGGAGATATACCACAACGGCGTAACCTCTCTCGGACGCGTCTGCAAAGCCGTGTAGCTTGAGCTGAGAGCTCGTGTCGCCGGTGCCAGCGGCCGACTCTGAGCTTCTCAAGAAGTGGAAGTTCCTCCCAGAACCGCTTCCATTTCACAGTGATGGTTGACGGCAACGGTGCGTCCCAGTCTAACTGCTGCAGCCAGGCAGACTGGATTAAGATTTTCGCCTGAATTGTTGCTGGAGCCAGCCATCCGAGCGGGTCGAAGAGTCGGGCAGTCTCCTCCAGCTTCTCTTGATGAAAGTGACGACGGTGCGAGGAGGAACAGAGAAAACGAATTTGTCACTGGTCGGATACCAGCGCAATCCCAGAGTTGAGTGGTTCTCTTGTTCCCACGATAGCGAGTCTCTGGTGAGGCAGTGCTCGGGCGGAGTATCGCGGAGAAGTTCATGGCAGTTAGCGGTCCATTTTCGCAGAGAAAATCCGCCCGCCATGCAGAGGTTGCAGAGCTCGCTTTGTAGAGCGATTGCGACGGCTTTGCAATGTGCGCCGGTTATGACGTCGTCGACGTAACAGTCATGTCGTAACGCATCTGCGCCTCGCGGGTAATGAGCTTCTTCGTCATCGGCGAGTTGACGAAGAGCGCGGATGGCGAGAAATGGCGTGCACGCGAAACCGTAAGTGACTGTCTTCAGAGTATACTCGCGTATCGGCTCATTAACGTTGTGTCGCCAGAGAATGCATTGATACTTCTGGATGAACGAGAATTTGGCGATACATCTTCTCGATGTCAGTTACTAGCGCGTAACGATGCCACCGTCACTGCAGAAGTACGTTCGCGAGGGGTGGCAACATGTTGGCACAGACCAGAAGATGAATATTGAGTGACTCACCGGACCTTGTATGCGATCCGTTGAAGACGACCTTGAATTTGGTAGTGGTGCTGGATTTTCGGAGCACGCCGTGATGAGGAAGGTAGCATCGATCCTCACTGCAATTCGAAGGTTCTCGTGCCAATTTCATGTGATCTGAGTCCTCGTATTCTTTTAGGAAGGCGCGGTAGAGGTCTCCGAATCGTGAGTCTCACTCACAGCGTCGCTCCATGGCGATCAAGAGTCGTTCTGCAGGTTTTCGAATTTCAACTAACGTCGTAGGCAGAGAGATAGTCGTACCACGTATCGTCCTTCGGCAGTACGTTGATGCTGTAGTGCAAAAATATCTTCGCATTGCTGTTCCTTTGGCATGAGCGCGGCAGGAGCGGGCGTCTCTCTCTCTCCTGCTCCCAAAAGCGGTGCACGAGCTCGGCTAGCTCATGATCTGCGGTGCACTGAAGCGAGTGGTGCTCCGTCGAATTGGTTATCTGGTCGCAGCCTCCTGACAGGATCCAGCCAAACAAAGTTTTCTGAGCGATAGGCGCTTGGAGGCCTCCTTCGCGAAGACCATTTTGGAGGATGATTGAGCATACTTCCGCTCCAAACAGTAACTCAATGGAATCGTTTGCTGCATAGTCCGGATCAGCTAGTTGGAGCCCCTTCAAGTGTGGCCACTCCGTGATCTTTGCGTTGGCGCCTTGGTAAAGCGACAGACATGGCAGAATGAAAGCTCTGGCGGTAAAGTTGGTCTCCGTGAGAACGGAGGCTACGTTGAGTGTCACCTTTCCTCTGCTAGGCCCGGAACTTTTGCCGCTGATGTCGAGGATTTCGACTGCGGATCGAGAGCGTGGCAGACGCAGGCGCTGGACCAGTGCCTCCGAAATCAAGGAAACTTCCGAACCTTGGTCGATGAGCACGCGTGTGGTATACCGATTGCCGTGACGATCAGCGATGGAAATTCGCACAGTTGCGAGCAAAATAGCCTTGTGGTCGTTGTCGCAGCGCATCGCCGACAGTGAGCTGACCTCTTGGGGTTTTGATGAAATGTACACGTCGTGCAACATTGAGTGGCGAGACTTGCACGTTATACATGTCCTCGTAGATTGGCACTTCGCGAGTGTATGAGAGCCGAGGTAGTTGAAGCACAGTCTATGAGTTTCGGCGACGGCCTTGCGATCAACAGCGGATTTTTTCTTGAATCCTTCGCATACCATCACGTGGTGCTTGCCTTTACATAGGACGCACTGTGGAGATTCGGTGTGTGTCTCTTGATGCGACTTTGCAGATCGCGGCGGGTCCTCAGAGACCTTGAGAGATTTTGGCTTGGCGGCGTTGAGTGTAAGTGCCCTTTTGATTATGAAGTCCATCAGCGCCTCATGAGTTGGCACGTCATTCGAGGCGCTTGAGACTCCCATTCCAGGCGAATTTTTGAATCGAAGAACTCGATGACAAGGTGGTTAAGCAGATCGAAGCCATGCGAGCCGATAGGCCTGTCGATGCTCTCCTGGCTGTTGACTACACTGGTTACGGCGTGGTAGAACTCCTGCGGTTGAACTCCTCCGCGGTGTCACTCTTCATTTTAGCCACAGCGGTAAACGTGGAGAAATTGGAGCGCGATAACTCTCTCTTATTTTCGTAATGCTTGCTCAGCAGAGCCCATGCGCGTGGATAATTGTCTCCGGTCACTGCTAAAGGTCGAATCAGTTTCTCAACAGGACCCTCCAGACAAGATTTCAGATAATGAAATTTCTCAAATGCTGAGATTGATGAATTGTCTCCGACAATAGATTGAAAGATGTTTCGGAATGTAGGCCAATCTTCGAATGTGCCAGAGAAGGAACGAATCTTTAGGCGAAGCAGAGACGTTCTTCCGGAAGGCTCATTACCACCTTCTAATTTGGAGACTGAACTCGGTTCCTTCGCCTTGAATCTCTGATAGTCGTTGAGGAGGCTTCGTTGTTCGACGTACGTTATTTCGGCTAAGTCAGCAAATCCGGTCGAGCTGTACTCGCTCTCGTCGAATGCCTCTTTGAGGTGAGCTCGGATGAGCTCATGCTGAGCCTCAAATTTTGCCCACAATCGATCTAGAAGAATGATGTGAGTCTCAGCAGCGTGCAGCGTAATGCTCGTTGCGCCGAGTTTTTTCAGATTCGATACTGACCGAGCCATGCGACCGTGAATATCGCTCTGAGCCATCAGCAAAGTTTGCAGATCCTCACTCATCACTCACTCTTCCTTTTCAGCACTAGCAAACTGAACGCGACGCACCCGACACTGCGGTTGCCGGCGAGAATCCGGCTCGAAGGACCAGAAATGTGCAGAATTGCACCGCGTGTAAAGATTAAAGTGAGAGGACGGCACACGGCTGATATAACGCACGACAGTGAAGAGAACTCCGTTTCTTTGTAATTTGATTAAAGATTTTACTTCAAATTTTACAACCACAAATTCAGTACACATAAATAATTATCGCAGAATATTCGATACAATCACCTTTTTCGAATTATCTTAGTAATAGAAGTAATAGAAAATCGCGAAGATTTTCTCGGTGGTTTTACTTGGCGGTTTTTCACGGCGGTTTTCGACACGATATAATAGCGAGACTCTGAGCACTAAGAGGGCGAGATCGGCGACGATCGGTGCATATATTGCTTTCGTGGCCTGGACTCTCTTCTTTATAAAATCCAATAGAATTTTGCCACAATTGTAAATTTTGCGTGGCATTTGTTGTATAAAATTGATTGGCGCCTCGGATTCTTTTTTAATGTTCGACGTAACAGTCATGCGTGAAAGAAAATCCGCGCGTGGGATTGGTGGCTGTGCGTGACGTGTTCGTCGGAGCGCTGCGCTCGCATGATTAAATTGTTCTCGAACCTTCGATGGTCCGTTGCCGTTGTCTGTGTGTGTGTAACGAATTAATTTGAAATGAAAAAAAAAACGACAAATTGGCTTTAGCGAGAATTAAGATCATGCTAGAAATGAATTTATAAACTCATTTCATGTATGCGTCTAACAACAATTACTGTTAATCGAACGAAAGAATTATTACTTTTTTACGAATTAACGATTTCAAACAATCATAAATATTAGTACTAAGATTATTGAATTTGATATATTAGGTGTTGGAATTAATTCGTAGCGTTTTTTAATGAAAGAATGTTATTTATTTCACATGAGCATTAAAAAATACATTAATGAAAGTACTTCCCATCACTTGTAAAACGCTACGAATTAATTCCAACACCTAATAATATAATTGGATATAATATAATTTTATATAAAATATTCATAATAGAAGAC